CCCCCCGAGTGCCCTGCCTCGGCCAACTCCGGCTCTTTGAGAAAAAAAAAACAAACCAAGAAAAGCCCCAGGGACTCACCACTCCTGCAGCAGCCCCAGGACTTCAGGGGCTCATGCAGAGCTCCCCCCACATGCAACAGGGCAGTGGGGGGCAGCAGGGGGCAGCGGGGATCGTCCCTCGCCAGCAGGAGCAGTTAGTCCTGGGGTTTTTCCGGGGTTTTTTTTTTCTTAAAGGACTGGAGCTGGCCTGTGTGGGGCACCCATGTTGGGGCTGGGGGAGTGAGGTGGGGAGGTCTGGGGGCCTCGTGCAGAGCCTCCCACACAGTGTGGAGTAGTGGGGGGCAGCAGGGATGGCCCCCTGCCTGGAAGCACCCGGTGAGCCAGGGTTTTTGTTTTTTGTTTTTTTTTCACAAGTCCAGTGGGAGCCGGGGCAGCCACTGCAAGGCTAGGAGAGGGGTGGGGAATGGGCCTGGCCTGGCTGATTCGGCTGCTGACGAATCTCTGAATCAGATTTGGCCGAATCAAATCGGGACAGTGATTTGAATCACTGAATCAAGTCACTGCCCCTGAATCAGCCAAATCCAAATCTGAAGCGAATATTAGCTGCTTCGCACAGGTCTAGTAACTAGGATGGGGCAACTGGGGCAGGTACTGGGGGAAAGGGACAGAAAAAAACAGTTGCTGCTACAGCTGCACAATTGTGCCAGTGGCAGCAGTGGTAACCAAATATCAGAGCTGCCCCTGTGTGTGTGGCCTCTGTCAACAAGTACCTTCTTCCATGGTTTCTTGATGCTGGGAAATGAGCTCACCCATTAGCAGCAATTCCTACCCAGCAATTGCTGAGAGCTCCATTTCTTGTACCTCCTGTTTCCCCATAGGTTTGGCCAGTACAGCCTCCCTTCACTCCAGTACCCCATCTGGGTGACCCTTCTCACCTTATCATTCCCTTTCTGCTCATATGCTTTTCACCCCATATACTAGTTCTTATCCTGCACTGGGTGGTTTCATTTTCTATCTTGCAGGAGATGCTGTAAAAACTAAAACAGCAAACAACAAGGAAAACTGATAACCTGCTGCTGGTGACTTTAGTCTGTTTTCCTCATTGTCTTTCTTGCCCAATTCCTGACTCTCCTCTTTCATGCCAGCAGAACCATTAGGCTGAGTTAGTTTTCCTACAGCTTGTACAGGTTTCGTGTTCATCCAACATAGATCTGACATTTTTTCCCCAAGATTTTTAATTCATTGAAAAGATTTCAAAGCCATAACAGGTCAGATTCCTGGGGGTATGATGGCAGTGGAGTAAAGGTGTTTGACTGCAGATCCAACTTGACAAGTTCAAACCTCTCTCAGGACTTGCAACAAAGGCTACTCCTGATCAACCCAGCTGTAAATTACTATGTGGTCCCTTCAGCTAGGGAAGCCAAAAGATGGCTGGCTGTTACAATAGATACATCACTCCATGGAGTGCCACTAGCTATGGAGACAGGCATGCCTTAACTACATTGTCCCAATGCATCATATAGGCTTGGGAGGACCTTGGGAGCTAGATTCTCAGTGGACGTAAATAGGTTTCATTTCACTGACTTCAATAGCATTTTGTTCATTATATCAGCCAAAGATGTAGCCAGAAGAGCATACCAACCCTCTGAACACCGGAAGGTGATTAAATGCTCTTTTGAGAGGAGTGGATGACTAAGAGAGTTGGTAAGGATGCAGAAAGCCTTTGACTCCGTGTTGCTGGTTTAAAACACACTGAAGCAAAAGTCACTAGATTCTAGACACCAAAAGCCTAATATGTGGTCCCAGTCCAGTTGCTAAACAGGTCCACAGCACAAAGCCCTTTCATCTTACATCGGGGTAGAGTCATGCCACTCATGTGTTGGGGAGGGGGTCTGCACTCCGCAGGATCTACTTTGCTGTAACAGTGAGCAACTATTTTCCCTATGGCATAAACATGAATGAAGATGAAGCCTGCCGTCACTGGCATATCTAACAGGCTCTGGAGACAGGCCATGGAATGAATGAATGAGCCATGGAGACAGAGTTCCCTTCTTCCTGTCAAAGATCCCTTCCAGGTCACTGTGCATGTTAGTAGGACTCTGTGCAGGGTGATTTTGCTGCTGCTGTCCTTTCTGTTAATCAGTCTGGCATTTCCAATTAACACAGAACACATTTTAAAAATAAAGAAAATAAGTATCAATACATGTCATACTCTTCCTTACCAGCACTCATATGTGATCTCCTGAGGCTCCTTGCAACCCTATTTTTCTAGGATTCTACTCCTCAAGACAGACACAGGAACAGGCTCAAATTCTAGTGACTGCTCCACTCCTATGCTCTGCTCAGTTACCAACACCCAGTGCCCATCCAGATTGACACCACTTGGCCTTCTGCCCTCAGCTTTAACATTTCTAAGATTTCTGCCTTTCTCTAGAAACAGCAGTCACTATCTCCTTAAAACAAGGAGATGCTGCTCTAACAGCCTATTACATAGGAGATGTGCACACTATGTACTCTCTCACAGGCACCTGTTTTGCCCTTTCCTGCTGTTGCCTCCTTTAATTTAATTTGCTCCATGACATTGTTGTTTTCCCTGTAGGGAATCATCACCCAGCAGTCAAGCACATTGACAGGGAGAGGAATCCGCCACGTTAATTAAAACTACATTTAATTATGATCACACATTCTGGAGGGGCTGGCTACTGGCAGGCATGCTGCTAGTAAGGGACATCATCAGTGATGCTGACATTACAGGAGCCAGAGATCATTCAACTGAATCTGTGCCTTGCTGTAATACTTTGCAAAAAAAACAAATGAAAGCCCCATAGGATATGAAGATCCCCATCTTGTATCAGTGGAGCACTGGCAGTTTATACCAGCTAATTATCTGGCCTCTGATAATTAATTTGATGATGACATTCTTGATAATCATTTTAGAATCCAACACATTTTAGCTGGTGGACAGCCCCTGCTGTTAGATTCCCATGCAACTGGCAGTGGTACTGCCTGCAAACACTGGAGCAAACTGACACTGGCAGGAGGCTTAGAAAAGCCTAAGTGTAATTAAAAATGCCCTAATATTTCACAGCTTATTCATGTCCTCCCCCCAGCTTGTCCATGACCTTTCAGGCTGCTAGGCTGAGCAAAAAAGTCCAGTTCTCCCTTAGTAGTGCCTGAAGCTAGCATGGTGTAAGTATACAGTAGCATACGAACAATTATTAGAAGGGGTACTTTAAATAGCTCAGAACTGCTGGCTCATAAAGCCCATTCCCATAGCATATGCAAAGGAGGTAGATCTTTGTTGGTTTTTAAAGGTCATTTGAGACTTTGAGTACTTGAGGATAATTTCTGAGCTGGAAGGCTGCCCTTTCACTCTCTCCAAACACTTGCAATGTTAGTGTTTTCTGCATGAGTGCCTCAGGGGAGACGTTAAAACTAAAGCAGAGGGGAAGAGAGAGGAACGTGATGGGCGTTTACAGGTGTTCTGGAAGGAAGTCTAAGTCTAGTAAGGATGCACAAGGAAGATGGTAGGAGTAACTGAATTCATGCTAATGCCCGTCTCCTTTTGGAGGGATGGTACTTTGCTGATGCATCCTATTTCAGCTGCTTTATGTTCACGCTGCCCAGTGACTCACTGAGAGTCGAATGAAAACAAGCTGTCCCTGTGCTTCGTCAAGTTATACTAGAAATAAATAAGTAACAAGCAAGCATGCATCAAAATGTCTTAGGGTTTCTCATAGTAAAATTCAGTCCCACAATTGGACACTAACTGTACAGCTGAATAAGCTTCATGTAGAATGCTTGACAGAACACAGTTACAAGGCCTGAAACACCTCCTGCTGCAGGCAGGGGCAGATCCAATGGTGGGGGCAGGGGGCATGCAGTGCATTTGATTCCTGATCCATCCAAAGTTTAAAGTCAACTGCCTGATGGAGGCAGCAGTACTTCTGTTCAGGCAACAGTGAGGGAGTCAATTGACTTCATGGCTCATTGTAGTCTACCTGATTCCTTTTAAACTCTTCACTACAGAGGCATTAATGACCATCTTTCCCTTTTTTATAATCTTTAATGGTTCCACTACTCAAGCTATCCTTTCTTATGCAATGCTGCTGTCTGCTAGCTGCTCCTAGTAAAGTAACTCCCATTTCAAAGCCCTGCACACTTTTTAAATTCTAGTTACTAACATTAACTCAGATGTGGAAATGTTAACTCAGGTAAACATTAGCCCAGGAGTGGAAAAAAACTTTCCATGAAGCATTGGATGCACTGTCAAGATACCCAAGAGACTAGATTTTGTTTTATGATTCTAAAAGAGACATACATTTAACTATAATTACTACAGAACTAATGACACAATATATTTTGATTATTTTTGCATTTTTATACAGGAAATGAATGCACATTCCAACAAAGTTGTTTTTTTGCTTCAATTTTAAATGTCATAATATAGCTCTAAGCCCCTAACTTATTTGTGAAGTTTCTACTTTCTAACAGAGAAAAATTGTGTGTTTTGTTATACTTGATGATAATGCACCACACCATCAACACCCCCCCTTTCAAAATCCTAGATCCATCCATGGCTGCAGGGCTTCTGGGATAGTGGAGATCAGACATGTACATGAAGATCAGGGAGCAGCCTGTTTTTCTCCATGCTACAGTGCTGTGCAGTTGGCCTAGGGCAGTGGTTCGCAACATTTTTAGATTCAAGGCAGCTCTCCATAACTGAATGTAGCAGTACCCAGCTATGTAACGTTTTTCTGAACATAGCATCTCCCCAGTTGAGAACCATTGTTGTGCTGCCTCCACTTACCTCAACGATTCTCAACCAGAATCATGCCACCATCTCCATGGCCATGTGGTTCTTCACTGCATGCTTTGTGTGAAGCCATACGATTTTCTTACTGGTTTATCAGATAAATCTAATGTTGAGGAGAGCGCCTGCTCCTGCTGTACCTGCTTCCTGATCTGGCTTTGCATGGGGCACATAGGGTGGTTTCTACTGGGGGTGGGGGGGCAGTGCCTGCACCATAACACCCTAGAAGGCTCTTGCGGCACCCCAGTGAGAACCACTGGCCCTAGGGCAGTATTTGTCATCTGTCATGGGTCACTGATTACTGAGCCAGATGGCATCTCTCTCTCTCTCTCTTTTTTTTTAAAGACAGTTTTATACCAAATGTTACCTACAACAAAGAAGACAGCTATGAAGTTACAAGCCATTCAAGACTTCCCACAACCCCAAAAGAAAACACAATGCCTTTCTGGGAGATCACAACTCAAGGCCTTACAGCAGCAGCTCCCAAACTGTGTCACAGTCGCAAATGGGATCACAACATCAACAGATGGGGTTGCAATAAACAGGGATCCTGGTTTTCCATTTGCTGTGGGATAAAACAGATTTCTTCCTTTAATGAAGAAAAACGTGGGAAAATGTGGGTTTGGGTTTCCCCTTGCAAGTTGCAGCCTGCAAGGGGCTGCTACATACATGTGCACACACACATGCATGTGGCAACCAAACAGCAGTGGCTCCTCCAGGTAAGTCTGGGGGGGCGGGAAAGGCACAGGTGATATGGAGGAGTGGGACATCAAGGCAATGTGGGGGGTGGGGGGGGCATGTGCCCCCAAAGATTTCTGCACCTCCAGTGAGGCATGGGCTGCAGCCAAGCCAGACCAGCTCCAGGCAGGAGCCACTTCCATGGCCCAGAGAGTGGGACCTGGTGCAGGAAGAAGCACTGCACCACCATGGTGAGGCACAGCAGCAGTGGTGATGTGGAGTTGTTGTCCTCACTGCTGTCAGGCTGGTAGGGGGTGCTTCAGCTTGGCAGCCATGGCAGTGCAGCACTCCCTCCCATACCATGTCCCACCTGCTGGGCCGTGAGCCCCTGGGTAGAGGGCAGCAGGGCAGGGAACCCGACACCGCAGCAGGTAGCCCACATCCTCCCTTACCCCACAGGCTCCACTTTGACCATCCCTATCACCAGGCTCCATGCTCCACTTGGGTGGTAGCCAGGGCTCAGGTGCAGCTGGAGGATGCAGGGGACTCTGGGACCTGGCCCTTGGGTACCTGGGGGTGTTGCAGTTCGGGAGTAAGGGTCAGTGGCAGGGCCAGGAGGCTGTGGGTCAGAAGTGAGGGTCACCTGGGGGAGCTGCAGGTTGGGAGTGAAAGTCCATGCTGAGGAAATTGGGTCAAAAATGGGATGGGTCATGCTGAGGAAGAGTTTGGGAAGCACTGCCTTACAGCTCTCACCCTTCTGCTGCTCACAGCTGCCAAAAACTGCCCTTTCTCTATCACTCAGAAGAATCTCCGTGTACCTCATCCACCCTATAACATCTTTCTTTGTCCTGGTACAGCAGTTGCTGTTTTTCCATCCCACTTCTCTAGTCCCCTTTAAAGGGTACATTGAACTTATCTCATTATCTCACGGACAGACAGGTTTTCTCTAAGACCCAAAGAAGCATCTGAAAGCCCACAAAGGGGAGAAACCTGGAGAGCTGGCAGATCTGTATTTAGGACCTGGAATCAGATTACAGGCTTCCCTCTCTATGTGCTATACATGCATTCCTGGAAAACAGTGCGTAAATCGAATTCACATAAAGGGGGAACCCACTTTACAATGTAACACATAGAGATATGTTCCAAGACTGTACTGCCGCCCAGACCCATTTCTACCACTTTTACAGGACAATTTTGGTACTCATCAACAGCAGACAGTACACACAAACACAGGGTGGTGGTGAATGTCACCATAATGGGGATGGCAACTACAGAAACACGTCTCGCAGACAACCAGCGATGAGCACAGATCCACACAGGAGACTGTATTTTGGTGTGCGTCAGTCCCACAATGCACCGCACAAAGCAGCTGACTGCAGCCTTCCACCACACCAATCGCATAAGAGTGAATTTATCTTGCATATAATATTTTTTTGGTATAAAAAAGGACATGAGTGAATTTGCACATACAGAACCCACACAATGTGAGGAAAACCTGTCATCCTTTCCTGGACTAGTCCCTGGGGATATTAGCAGGACGTGAAAGTGACCCCCTCTGAAGGATACTCGAGGGACAGAGAAAGACTGTCCCATCTTTGTCTCTTTGCAAAGGGGAAGGAGGAGAAAAGGATCTTCCCTGAGTGACAATCAAGGGAAAATAACCTGTGAAAAACAGTCCTGCACTGCTGCTGGGTGGGACGTGACCCAACATCATGGTTTCTGACTGACTTCTACAAGGGAATCAGCTCCTACTCATTAATTGGTGTGGTCTGCCATCCCTGCCTGCATAACAAAAGCCCCACCATGGGGCACTCCCTTTCAGAGGTGATGAGTTGCTTGGCCTTTGGAAAGGGAGATAACCTTGGAAGCCTCCAGACAGCCAAGCAATTATTTATAACAGCTATAAAACAAATCAGCAGGACTCAAAGTAACAAAAAATGTCTAACGATCATATAAATAGTAACAGCATTTCAAAGTGCTGCCCTGCTGCTGTAGAATATTCTATATCACTTTACAAGCAACTGCTCTGGGTTCAGAAGGTCACACAATTTTACTGGAGAACAACTGGCTGCTGTATTCAAAGACGTCCTTGCAACTCCTGGAGAAGATGGACAGGATGGTCTCTCCAAAGAAATCTTTAGGTGGGTTGAAATTGATACTCCAAAGCCAATATAAGACACAAGCAGCTCTCCAAAGCTGGTTTATTCATTCCCAGATTTTAAAGACACGCTGCAATGGGAAACTCAGGGGGAGAAGGGAATTGGAGAAAATTGTTTTCTTGTGGTCTTACAAGGCTTCTCTTATTCCCAGTGGAGGAGAGAAAGTTATTGCAGACAGACAAAATAACTTGTGTTTAGGACTCAGATTTTGCATCTTTTGCAGCATATACTTTTTCCATGTATTTTCCAATGTTTAATTATAATTGCTCTTTTTAGGAATATTCCTAACATTCTCATTCACTAGAACAGTAAGGGAGAATCTTTTTGGCAAGTGTGCCACAAGGCAAGCCCCAAACCCTCCTTGAGTGCCACTCTGATCCCCCTCCTCATCTATTGCTCTGCTTTCTGCTCTCTGCCCTTTGCTTCTTGTCCTACCTGCTGCTGTGGTTCCTAGCTCCCTCCCCAGTCTGGTACATGCCACACACAAAAGCTGTCCATGCCACTTGTGGCACGCATGTTGTGGATTACCCCACCAACAAAATGCTAAGAAGGGGTGCATCACAGCAGAAGGGACTTTGATAAAGATTTGGAAAATATATCCACAGAATTTTTTCTTCAGGATCCAGTAAATAGTAAATAGCCCCCACAGTTAGAACAAATAAAGACATATGAAGGGAAGGGAACAGACCATGGGCTAGGGTCTAGTGGCTGAACTCTGACGTACAAGCCATCTTTTCTTCTTTATCTTTTTAGAAAAGGCAAAAAAAAAAAAAAAAAAGCATCAAAGGCAGATAATTTCCCCACAAACTATTTGAAATCTGCCCACATACCTAGTTTGGTCACCGTTTACTGATGCTAAATTTCCTATAGTGGCCATTCCCTTAAGCAACCCAGGAATATTTCATGTTACATTTTCATGTAAGCATCTCAAATAATTACTTAATGTTATATGTGCCTATTGACTATAAAAAAGCTAGAGGTAGACTTATTTTTAGCTGCAAGTTATTTATCTACAAAGTTGTCATCTCCCACTAATACCTGCCCCTAAAGCACCCCCAGGTTCTTGGAACAAATATCAATGGACATCTCTATGTATCAGTTAAGGCTGGAACTCCAGGAGTAGATGCAAATGATGCAATATATTAAATCTGGATATCATTATTTATACTCATATCCACAGATATCCAAGTTTTGGGGAATCTGCATCTGGCAATGCAGCAGAATGAAATGAGTCATAGGAGCAGCTGCATGGACAGTGCAGCAGAGGAGAGTCTGACAGGGAACAACTTTCTACTCCATTGCCCCAAACATAAGGAAATACGAGAGGGAAACTACCTCAATTGATCAGCTTGCCTCCAAAAGCAATGAGGAAAAACGGTACTTGACCTTGGGGAAGAAAGGAGATAGACTTACACTATGTAGCAACCAACCCCTGGATCATGAATGGACAGGAACAATAACATGATGGACGTAGATGAACTTTAGGCCTCTCATAGGTGTATTACACCCATTCTGGACATTTAGTCATGGGGGCTTATTTCCAACATGTTGTCTAGCTTGTCATGTCTCTCAAGTGTCAGGGTCTAGAACAATGCTTCCCAAACTTTTCCTTAGCATGACCCTATTTATGGCCCCATTTCCTCAGCATGACCCCATGTCTTCAGCATGGGTTGTCCCAACCCACAGCCTCCCAGCCTCATGACCCCATTTGGCATCACAACTCACAGTTTGGGAACCGCTGGTCTAGAGTCTCTGGCTCTTCTGGTAGAGGGTTGAGGTTTGGTTTCTTGCCCCTGGTGTTGGCTTGGGATCTAGCTTCTTCCGCCCTTCATGCTTACTCCTTGCTCCCAAGCTTGAGTGTCATCTATAGCTGCTCCTGGGCTCTTGTTTCTTGGACAAAACAGGGGACAGTGGAAAGGATGCCAGCTCTGGCTGTAGGTCCCTGGCCCAGTGTCCAGCACTGCCTAGTGCCTCTCTAGCCAGAGCTCCAAGCCTACAGAGACAGGGGCAGGAAGCAAAATCAGGAGCAGGTTTCCAGAGACCCCAGCAGCAGAAGCAGAAGGAGCATCAGGGGGGAGTGATGGCTGGGTGTGAGGGGCTGCAAGTTAACCCCACAAGGGCTGCAAGTCATTTTAGATCCAGAGCTCTCAGGTCTGATCCCCCCCTGCCCAGCCAACCTATGTTAACACCTCATAATGTATTACTCCCTGACATTAGAGAATGATGTGGAGCCTTGCAATTCACCATATAGCAAGCCAGCCACTCTCCAAAAGCAACACAATCTTCCAACGTACTTCCACAAACACCTACAGTGAGAGGGACATTTCAGTGGCTAGGCCAGCCTGATCCATGGTCTCTCTGCTGAGCTTCCTAACAAGAGAACCAAATGGGGCAGTACTGTCATGCAGATAGCCTCCAGCAGTACTGCACCAGCAAGAAAAAACCTAGCATGGGCAGTCATCCGCACTGAACATCACTAGAGAATTCTCTACTTTAGAGCCAAACGGAAGCCCTTTTGCACAGGCACGCTAGTCTTGCCATCTCCTAATGGCAGCTCCTGTACTTGATCACCTTCTGCTTATGGCAGTATAGGCCTGGGAAAGCATATCTAAGGTATATACCAAACCTGCTCACCCCCTCTGTAACACCATATATGATCCTCGACTCATTTTCACATGGAATGTGACCATTTAAGTGTTGACAAACACTAAGCATGGTTTATTTTTAAAAGGACAGTGCCTGACATATGTGATCATAATGAATTGCCTATTATATTACACAATGAAGACCATTCCAGTAAGGCTGCAAGCATAGGATCGTTCCGGCTTTCCTTTCGGGGCCATTTTTAAACCTCTGTTACAAGACATTTAAAGTTTTATTGTTCTCAGCAGTTTAACAAGCCCCTCCCACCCCATACACAATACCCTCCCCGCTATAATGTAACACCTGATCCACAAAAACAATAAACCTTTTTTGCCCCTCATGTCCACCTTGTCTACCCTCACAGGGGCAGCACAGAGATACCATATTTTATCACTGTCTTTTCAGCCTGAGGAAGTTAAACAGGGGGCAAACCATTTGTAAGGGACCAGGGTGTAGCTGGTCTTGCCTAATGGTTAGACCACTGAGGGAAAGCAGGGGACTGCGGCTGGGTCAGAGGATGGGAACCACATTACCAAATCCAGAGGGAAGTCTAGGGGCAGAGTCCACAACACAGTCCAGGGTCAGGATCCAGGAATCAGATGCTGAATACCAATCTGAGGGGCAGTCCACAGGGTGAAATCCAAGAGCAGAGTCAAAACCAGCCGTAAGAACCAGAAAACTGAGCATGCAGGAATCAGGAGGCTTGCTACAGCAGAACTGGATCAGAACTGTTGACTGACCTGCAATCCCAGGGCCCCAGCTGGTGCTAAAAGGGTAGGCAGTTCACCTAGTAGCCAATTAAGATGCTCACTGTTCCTAAACTGGGGCAGAGTTCATTAGATGAGGCTTGCTACAGGTGTGCTGCTGAGGTACATGGCCCAGGCTGGCCTGCCTGGCAGTATCGGACCAAAGCTGGTCTGCCTGATCAATGTCCCTGACACCACTTAAACACGTTCCAGGTGTCCTCCGCTTACCCAGGAGCAAGGCAAATGGAGGTTGTGTTTTAGTTTATCCTGAATATCAACTGAGTACTCCTAGCATCATTATACAGCAACGTAGTATCACTGAAATCAACTGAGCTTTGCCCATACATTACAGTTAAAAAGGCAGTCACTTATTTGACTGAAAACAGCCTTTAATACCCAAGGTTACAATGTAGGAATACGCCCCAGAATCAGACCCCCCAGAATCCCCTGTTGAGCTCCTGGTCAATATGAAGTTACACTCTCTACACTTATTCCTCTCAAGAGTAAAATATGGTGTGTACATATGCTCCAGATCCTCAAAGTACCTGATGGGAGCAAGGCACCTAAATGCTGATGAGAATTTAAAAACCCCAAGGTCCAGAGTCATAGGACCTCTTGACAGTGCATTATTGTAAGCGAGAAGTTCTGATGGACAGCCCTTCTGCCTCAGCTAAGGCAAGGTTGAGCTCCAATTTGCCCCTTTAGTTTTGTCACATATATTTAAAGCCATATCTATTTTTTGAGTTGTTCCTGCTAAAAATAACACCTGCTCCTAAGGAACCATTTGCTACCCCCACCTCTCTCCAGGAACTAGGCACGAGTTTTAACTAGCTTAGTAAACCCACCTATAATTTTTTTAAGATAAAGGTGGCATTGTACAGACAACCTGCTTTTAATAACATTGAAAGTTAGCAAAAAGGGTATGGGTGTGGAGGAGGAGAGCAAGGTAAGTGTCTGACTACTGTCTCCAAACATGCTGCATCCCTAACTTGACAGGGCTTTATGGACTGATCAGTCTATCCATCCAGCCTCCATTCATTCCCTCAGTGGTGTATCCTTCTGCAGTATTCCAGTACATGAAGGATCTTTGATCAGGAACAATGTCTAGAGACTTCCAAATGGGAGACAGAAAGTCATCTCAGTCTATCATTCAAACTTAACCACATACTAAATGAGCCAAAAAAGGGGTGAATCACTTGAATGGGAATCAGACACCTCGTGGAACAACTAGATTTATGAAGGAATAGCAAAATAGTAGTTACTAAATGATTAATCCAGGGCAACCCTGTGAGAGCAGCCAGAGGGACCATTTCTTATAATGTTATATATAGATATTTGCTTTGAGAGGTTGATTTGGTGGCTCACCTGAAGAAGACTGCTATCTGAATCCAGAACTACAGAGTGATACTTTCCTCTTCTGAAAGCCCTTGGGTCTATAAAGAAGAAAATAGGTCTTGTGGAAAAGATGCATGCATTGCATGGTCCTTGAGAACTTCTCCATGGCTTGCCTTTGATTCGCCTCTTGGTTATGTTCCAGAGCATATATCAATACATGGGATATGGATGTCATGATATACCCCGTACCACAGCATCAGGGATGGATTCCCCAGCATTTTCCAGGTGGAAAGGTAGGAAGGCTACATGTTATATCAAAGGAACTCTTGAACAACACTCATCTGTCTTCCATTCAATAGAAGAACCCAGACTTCATCTTTATGATGCACCACTTACCAAACTCATATCCATATATCTCACAGAGAAACACTTATTACAAGCTACATCACTTGTTATTTGCCAAATTTCCCTCTCTCTCACAATCCTCTGCTTTTTCATAGTTACTGGCAAACACTACATTTCTCCCCAAATCTCAGACTTAATGGTCTGTCTGATCACCAGTTCTTTCCTTACTTTGTAGTCTCATGTGCCTTGTTGGAGTATTTTAAGGTCTGTGTTGCATGTTCAAGCTGGAATGAAAGAGTTGCACTAGCCACCAGGACTGTCCCAATCAGCACCCTGGCTGGACTAGTCAGCTGATTGCTAAGTTAGCTCATCTGCTGTGATTTTGGGCCTGATGCTACCAGCAGAAATTTGTATCAATCAAATTTATAACTTGCGCTTGGCTGCCTGAAGGCTGTTGTTCTCAGTGGTCTGTATCCACTGCTGGTATAAATGGACAGAATTCTGCTGAAGGCAACACATATGCACCTATTCACAGCAGTAGCAAACTAGGGGCAATACCTCTGGCCCTGAAGAGCTAACAAGAAGTGGAATGAAATCTTTACACATCATCTCCTTGAATGGGAATGTAAGAACAGGAGCTGTTAGACCAAGGAATCTGTACAGCAACAGTGAAAGTCAAGCCCAGAAGGGCCAATATTATCTTCCACCAACTTTGTTCCTATATTTTGAGAGGATTCAAGTGGGGAGAGCACACCAGGAGATGTCAATGTCTTCTGCATCCTGTAAGATGAGAAGGAGATTGTCATCTCACTCAGCATTTTATGCAGCTTTGTGGGGAAAGCCCCACCAGGCTACAATGCCCAGCAACTGCTTGTGGCCCATAGCCTACAGTGGCCTGGTGCAAAGTCTTTCACATCTGGGACTGAATGAGGAGTTTGACAAATGGTTTGTGTCACACTGCAGCTTGACTGGTGAATGACCACGTGAATACCCTGGGCAGGGCCCTTCCCCCAACTCTCCTGCCACATTTTAATGATACTTTGAAAGGAAGGGGTTCAGTGTTGTATGTGGTGGGCCCCCATAGGGGTACTCATGGTAAGGCCGCAGCTGACTTGGGTCTCTGCCTCCCCTATACCCTGTCCACTTGCCAACCATGGATGACAGTGCTCTGTGGTCCACAGTCACAGCTCTGACTCTATGGCTCTGTTCGCCTTGCGCTTTCTGTAGCTCTGACGTGGAATCCTCTGCCAAACAGTCTCAGGTTGCGGCATGGGTGTGCCCGGCGTTGTTTTCCACCACCTGCTCCCAATCCTGATCCCTGAGTTAGGGACTCTAGGCCTTCCCTCACTGGACAGTGCCTCATTCTACTTCACCCAGCAGGTCTCAAACAAAATCACAAGCAGCAAAGAACAACAACATAAAAAAGAACAACAAAAGGATTTTCCCAGAAAAAAATAGCCTGCAGAGTTAGTCTCAGTTTATCTCCCTTCCTAGTTCCCCTCCAGAAGGAAAAAAAAACCCCGAAAAAGGGAATGGGAGGAATCCAATGAGAGTCTTGCTTCCTCCTATCCCAGTGGGGATCCAGCAGCTTGGGTGCCCCACTGCTGTGACATCCCTTGGTGTCCCCCCATACCCAGGCTCTCTCTTCCCAGCATAGGGTTACTGCCATCCTGGCTCTTTGGCACCCTAAGTGCCTTTTAAACTTCCCACAGCAGTGCACAGGGCTGATGTAATCAGCTATGCATTGCCCAGGCAGATCAACAGAGTACTTAAAAAGCGGCTCATTGGCACCATGCACCGTACCTGTCTGGGCTCTCTCTCCTTTGCAGGTAAGTCCTGCTGGTCTTGTGGTGTTCCCCGCCCCCTCCTCTTGGGGGCCGATGGTGCTCTTGGGGGTTTGAGTGCTTGAGTGTGGTCGTCACCACCACAGATTGCAAAAAACCCTAAAAGCAAGTAGGAAGCAAGTCAGCATAGGAGTCTTCAGTGCTTTGTGCTATCAATACACACCACTGGATTCCCTCCAGTAGACATTAACTATTTCTTATATTAATGGCTGTGTCACTTGTCCAGCTAAGTGACAACATGGGAACTTACATTAAAATTGCATTGAGTTTGCTGCTTTGTTGCTAAGTACAGACAGTCAAAAAGCTTGAGGCTGAATTGATTCAATCTTTGTAGATTAGTCTAAACTGCATAGATTGAACCAATAAGCAAATTAACAGACATTCACTTTTGATTCCGCAAGTGCAGCCACATGCCTGTAGTGGCCCAGGCTAGAAGATTGGGGGTGCTAAAGCATGCCTTCCTGCTTGGCTGGAGCAGACAGCTTGGGCCATAGCTAGTCCGTCCACCCTGTGGGGGGATAGTGGTGTTGCAAGGAGGTGCAAAGCATCCTATGCTGGGGGACTGTGAGTTAACTTGAACCCAGAGGGGATCTGGGACAGAAGTTCAATAAACTGATTTAGCCTAAATCACTTATGTCTGATACTACAGCCATCCAGGTTTATCTTATGCTGGCGGAGGGAAGGTTTAAGTTGGACATCAGGAGGCGCTACTTCACGGTCAGGGCGGCTAGGGTCTGGAACCAGCTTCCAAGTGAGGTGGTGCAGGCTCCCACCCTGGGGGTTTTTAAGAGGAGGTTAGATGACCATCTTGCTGGGGTCGTTTGACCCCCGCAGGTGGTCGGACTAGATGATCTGCCCAGGTCCCTTCCGACCCTAGAAACTATGAAACTATGAATCTTAAACAAGTTTTGGTCATTTTGAAAGTAATTTATGTGCACTGAACTTCTGTTGTGTTACAGATTTGAACCAGTTTCCAGTCGCTATACCGGTTTGTGTGTAATTTCTGTCCCTAGCCTGCATGTTTCAGCAAATACCTTTAAGAACATTTATTTGGATGGTACCTGCCATACACCCTTGCTAATGATTAGATATCATGACTCGAGAAAAATCAGTTAACTCCCGTTAACTTCAGTAATACAAGGCCATAAACTACAGGCAGAAAAGGGAAGTCCTGTCCATTGTGATTATCAAAAGGTTGGATCTCTGTGGCCCAGTATACTTTCATGTTAATATTCACACATTAAGAAACATTTGTCACTTTGGTATAAAGAATTTTCCCTAGTCAGAGCAACTGCAGTCAGGCTCTTATACATTTTAGTGTGTCAACACCTGACAATGACTGAGCCCATCTGAGAGGACTGGATTTTCATTGGACTTTGACCCAAGATGCTAACAGTATAGTAGAAAAATATAGCTGACTGTGGCAAAAATCTGAACATCTCAGAGATCATTGCTTCGTACAATCCACTGTCAGCCATGAAGCTCTGGCAAGTCTACACAATTCCTGTGGTCTCCCCTCATTGGAAAGCCCTTAATCCACTGTTTGCCATGTATTTTTCCCTCTCCCTGGAATAGGCGAAGCAAACAAGGGAAGGTTTGCAAGCTGTCATTGTCCTTGGCTTCCCTACATACGTAAGGTCATTCCCCAGTAGCAGATGAGAAAGGCCATAATATTGCAGTATCATTTACAAAGGAAGGCAACATAGTCGTGATAAGATCTAGTCCTCAGGATCTTCAGATGGAAACTGCTAACCACTGATGTCACGACTACTTTCTGTGGCCCTAGGCACAAGGCCTCTTCCTACCACAAGACCCAGCAGCAGTACTCATTCCGATTCATGTAGGGAGCTGAGTATTAAACACAAGAGGAGCTAGAAATCAACACAGTCCTTCTGAAGTGGCATCTCCTTCATGTTAGTTATCTTTTTACCCCCTCCTCTGTGTACATTCAGCTCTTCAACTGGCTAAAGTTAAAGGAAGGAAGGAGACTGCAAAGGAAAGCCAGGCTTAGGCAGGGCAGTCTCTTAACCTTCTTTGTCAACACCACCATCTGCTGGACCCTGGCAGGCATAGACACTGCCCTGTGCTCTTTGCTTAACGAGGTTTCCTCCTGGGAAGATGCCAAGCCATAGGAGCGGACTGGGGACGCCTTTGTCACTGAAACCATCGAATGCAATCTTGTCAAGCATAGCTTTTTTTTTTTTAAACTGAGTCTCTGTAAAGTTCTGGCAGATGAGGTTCTGTGGGTAAATGTGCTATCTTTTATTAGACCAACAAACTACAGTAGTTGGAAAAATTGTTCTTTGCAGCTTTCGAGTACAAACACCCTTCTTCAGACAGAGGGAGAATCACCTTTCATTGCACCTCATTACACTACTTTCATTTGATGCCAAATCTGAGGGTTTCCACAAGATGCTTTCTTGTCATCACTAGATGCTTTTTTGTCACACCACAGTGCGACTCGCAGTAACTTCCATGAAGTTACACAAGGGATCAGTTTGACCTCTACAGAGGAAAGGCCAAATTTATCATCCATATAGCCTCATGGAAGTCAGTGGAGTCATGGCAGCAGTGAATTAGACATACATACACCTATTAGAGCTCTCACTACCCTGGACATGGGCATGCACGGTGGCAGAAAGCATACTGTTTTTCCTTTTTAACCCAAGCACAAAGCCAAAATTCAGTCATATTGATTGCTTCAGTTAAGAGGAGAAATTGGGTGATGGAGCCAAGTATCTTTGATGTGAATGATTTAGAGGTTATTTCCCCAAACACACTGGGAACCACCCTGGGAATCAAGGCTTGGTGCTGCGAGCAAAGAAACTTTCCTAGCCAGCACTCAGCCCAAGACCCCTCTAGGCTTTCTTCAGGACTATGCTCCCACTGCTTATTCCAGCTGTGCCCTTGGCTTTCTAGGCCTTCTCTCTTCAGTTCTGTGATATTTCATACTGCTTCTCTCTCCCCTTCCTCATTCTTCCCCTTAAAACCTTCTATTAAAATATCCAGCAGAACCCCCTCCACCCACCTGTGCCCATGACTGGAGGAGACTCCTGCAGTTTCAGCGACCTGGGTCCATAAAGGAGCATGGCTCTGACATTAATTTCACTGCTTTCAAGTGATTTAACCCAAAATGACACCATTCTGAAGCAACCCTTTTAGCCACTGCACACCAGTAGCACAGGTAATGCTCCTATCCTCCAATTATTTTTCAAATGCCCACTATCAGAGATGAGAGCCTGGTGAGCACTGAGTGATGACAGGCTAAGCCTGTAATCCCCACCTGCTGTGTGTAAGGCCAGGCACAGTCCAAGGTTTGGGCTTCAAGCTTCAGCCTCACTGCAGGGAGGAGATATTTGTACACCACTGTTGAAAACTTTTTATTTATTTATTTATTTTTTGTAACCAAGAAGTGGACGAAGGATGGACCAATAGTTAAGGCATTTGCTTGTATCCGTAGTCAGATCCAGGATTTTTTTAAAAAGGACCCAGCTGCTGCTCCTATGGCAGGATCCAAAAGGGAGGGGTGACTGTGACTTTGCACCCCCTCTGGATGTGCCCTGCTTGCATCCCAGTCTTATCCTCCCTCCCCCCCCCCCAATAAAACAACAACAACAAAAAACCAAAAACCAAACAAAACAACAACACAGTAACATGGCAATAATAATACATCTGGCTGAGGTTCTTCTAAAGGAACTTGTGGCATCTCCTCCACTGGAAGTATTTCAAGAGGCTGCATAAACACGTATGTGGGATAGGTTAGGAACAGGTCATCTTCTACCTGTCTAAGCGGGGCAGACTAGAGATCTCTTCTAAGCATATGATTCTAGGGTTGTTTTAAGGCATTGTGGCTAGGTAAACTCCTAGCATGCTCAGGACTATATTGTGTTTTGAAGTGAAGTGATCATGGAACATCCAGGAACTTAAAATTAAATGTCTGACAGAGTCCTAATAAAAGTTGAACTTGCCCTTGGTCAACTATTTCCAAAGAGACTGGATTCACCAAGTTTGAGAGCCATTTAGATCACTGGTTCTGAACCAAGCACTTGAAAGGACCCACAGGTCAGAGCCCCATCACCTACAAGAGCAGGCAGCCTTTTTCCTAACTGGAGCCCTTTTTCTGACTGAATCAGGAGAGAAGTTGCACTTTCAGTCATGCTTAGAATTTGGTTAAAATTTTGGGAGAGAGAAATCAGTTTTCTTCCCACTCTTCCATGCTCAATACTGTTGCTGCCTTTCCACACCAGATCCTCTCTAACCTTCAGTCAGGACCACCAGCAGGCTTTCTGTACTGTTTTAGTCACAAAGAACCACTTGCATACAGCTGGGACTGGGAGTTAGCACATGGCTACATCAAAGAAACTCAGAGAACCAGTGTCCAAGCCATCCCATTATAAAAGATAATACAAAGTGCTTTGATAGCGTGTGCCTACAAAGCTCTGCCCTCCACTGGATGCAGCATGTCGGACCTTCTCAAGCAAGACAACACTGGCAACAGGACCTGAGCCCTGGCACCTTCTGAAAGCTTCCTCTGAGTTTTGGGTGTACATCTCCGTATTTGTGGTGCACAGAGGTGTAAGTTCAATTTGAGTTAATGGTCATGGGGTTTGCCTGTAGGTGAGCCTGCTGCGCCCATTCTCCACATCAGCTAGTAAGGACCTTCCTGCAATCTCTTCTCTTTGTGCCTGCCTGACCCTTCTTGCCTCATTCTTGTGAGAAGTGAACAGGTAACCAGTTGGGGTATTTGTGTCTCCTGCTAACTCAGCATTGTGGAGATGCCAATCAGCATGAAGAACCAGCTTATGCAACTGTGCATAACCCTTGGGGTCTAGGGGTCTTCTTCACTGCCTTTCATCTCTAACAGGGAACACACTTGGAGGGCCTCTGCCTTCAGTCACACAGAACAGGCTGCCAGAAAAAAGGAAAAATTGTGTTGGGAAGGAGGGATGTCACTTAGCATCAGTGAGCTGAAAGAGGACAGGCTTTGCTAAGCACTCCTCGTTTGATCCTCAGGTACACACTGACCATATATACACCATATGTATGAATACATGCAGTTAATACTGGGAACTTGAAACCATAGCAAGACTGCATTGTCT